GAAGGGGTAACAAGCTGGGACATACAGGAGGTGTACCCTTCTGTTAGTCTGTTTGCAGGGCATGAGCACCTTGTCCATGCAATAACGTGGTGGTTGCACACCTGCAACCTGGTCAGAGTCTGGACCTGCACCTGTGCTGGGCTCTTCTGTATGTGTGCCTCCCCAGTGCTGTGGTGGAATTTGGCAATTTAAGAATCTTACCAGCTACAAGATCTGCTAACTTGTGTAGTTTTATCTGCAGATAGATAAAAAAGCATTATTTAGAACTTTTTCAGAATCACTGCAAAGACGGAGAAGGTACAAAGAAATACCCTCTAGGGGACAATATAGCACTGCTGCTTTAAAGATATAGTAAATGACACAATCTGTTTTTTAAGTTTGTAACTCCTGTGAATCTCATTTATTTCTTTTTGTTGCCTGCTTACACAGCAAAGCAGAGGAATAAGGGCAGTTTTAGTTTTTCTTTCATGCTTGCACATTATCAAGTATTCCTGTAAACATGATACTGGATCCATTAATTTTGCTTGTGTAAATGCAATTTAGGGAAGCAAGGAATCTGTAAAAGCATCCACAAAAGGAGAAAAAAACCTTCTTCACAGGTGATTTTTCTAACCAAGTGTATTTAATTCCTAGTGCTAATACAACCGAGTATGTGTTGTTTCCATAGCTGGATGCTCCATATGCCAAAACAGGTTAGAGTGTGCTCTGAGGCTGTTGTTGAAAAAATGACATTTTGCTTAAGCAGCCAAGTTAAAAGGGGACATAAAATCTGTGTGAGCTTTGCAAACCAGTGCCATGGTGCAGCTATGATAATGCATACTTCCTTCACCAATGACATCTGTAGTTTAGCATTCAAATACAAAGGATCGTGTCTTGGTCTGTAATTGCCTCTGAGGAAGAATGTGAACTTGACAGTTTTCTGTTAGTTCAGGGGGAAGAAAATACAAAGACCCCCACTCCCCAGGGTAGTCCCTGAAGTTATCCTTTAGGATAACTGTCTTGTGCTTCTGTTACACCTGGCAATTTTTAGTGTGCAGTAAATTCAGAGTCAGGGATATTAACATGCTGGTGTGGGGATAGAAATGCTGTGTAGTGACTGTAATTCTGGTGTGCCTGTTAAATAGCTAAATCATTTAGTTATCTTCACATCACATGTAATGGAATATAGAAAATCCCAGAACAAGCCTTCAGCAGCTCTGGATAGTTCAAGGTGCCACACAGTGATGCAGATCAGAATCCCAAGCTGGACTAGCAAATTGTTTAAAAAAACACTTCCAGCATTTTTCCTTCAGTGCTAGTTGATGGCTTCCTGAGGCCGGTTAAGTGTGCCATCTGGAGAGTCATCTCTGTAGCCACTAAGCTCAGTGGCATGCTCAGCACCATTTAGACGTAAAGCAATCCCTAATTAATGGAGGAGCTCCTCCCAAGCATCTAAACCTCACGAATCGTTTCAGACCTTACGTCTTGGCTCCGGAGGTACAAGGTGGGTTAGCTGGTGGGGCATGAGTGCCTAATTTGGAGGCCAGTTCAAGGGAGACCCTTTTCTCCTGCTTTCCCTTTCCAGCCTTTCAGTGAGCTTCCCACCCCAGGGTGGCTGGGAGGTTTGCTCAGGAGCTCAGTAATGATGAATCACAGAGGCATGGCATGGATTGATAAGGTCGTGTACTTTCCGATTAGATACATCCTCTCTCGAACAGCGGTTCTTTGTCTCCGTTTTACTTTTGGTAATGTTTTTCAGCAGTTTGCATACAACAACTCTCCAAGCAGGAGCTGTTTGATTTGAGACAAAGTTGCTATTATTCTAGGTAAGCTCAGGAAGCCTTCATAATTTTGTTGCCATCAAAAGACATAGATTGATGAGAATTTATTTAAAAGTCAGTTAAGTTAGAGCACCAATAAAGTTTTTTTCTTTTCTTGCAGTCTCACTGTAAAGGACTTTCAGGTACATAAACCAGTGTATAACAAGGAAAATTTGCCTTGCAGCTGTATCATTTATTTTTTGTGCATTGTAAGTGATGGCTGTAGAGTGCTATGTTCTTTATCTATAGCACCAGCAAAACCCCATGCACTGCAGCTGTTCATAGTGCAGGTGTGCAGTCTGGGAGCCATGGCAAAAGAAAACTATTACATGGTTCCCAAATTGGAAACTGTGGACTGCTGCAGTGCCTGCAGCCAGCCCAACATGCAAGTCTTCCTGCTCATTTAGAGTTGATGGAGAGCCCAGAGCATTCAGTATGAACACTTCAGGTTTACCGGGGGAGATTCTGGACGAGGCTCTTGAGGCATGTAATTTAGTCAAGTGCCTATTTGTGTTTACAAACTGAAGCCTTTTTGAGGTACCCTGAATACGGCATTTGTGGTGCAACTGTCCTTTCTCAAAGACCATCTCCAGTGTCTCTCTAGTCAGTATCGCATGAGCCCTTATGCTTCTCTTGACCTCTCTTTAGCTACAAGCTACAAGCTAAAGAGAAGGCTCACCTCTCCTGCTGCAGTCTCTGCTAGTGTACCATGGCTCCCTTGGACTCTCTTGGGCTGTTCTGGCTTCCCTCCTCTGCAGTTTATTGTTGCTTACTGAATAGGCTTGCTCAGCAGAGTTTTTAGAAGTAAAACAAAATGAGGTAGTCATGGATGACCAATATCAGCTGTTCCTTTTAATTCAGTTCTGAAGTGTTGTTGGCTCGCTGGCTTGGTTTCTACTGTCTATAAAAAGGTTTTGTGCAAGAAGTCCCCTTTTTCCCATCGCCCTGTGTGACACTAGTGCCAGGATGACCTTCTGCTGGAGAGTCTCATTGCTCAGTTGTGTTGCTGCTCTGTATGAGTTTCCCTGGCAACCACTTTGAGCTACGCTGAACCAAAAATACCTCACTGTGCTGGGGCAAAGTCACTTTGCAGACATGTATTTCTCATTAATGACTTCTCTGGATGGTTTGTGTGTTCAGCCTGCAGATGTCATTATTGCAAATCAATGACTGGGAGATGCGGCATGCCCCTTCTGCTTACTTCCACAGGCAGCATAGTCTATGAGAAGACTGCCCTTGCGTGATTGTCAACTGAGTTGTCACTGTAACACTCATCATACTCATTTTTCATAGTACAATGAGGTTCTTGTCTTCTATTGAGTATGGTATGTGAAGGCTCACAAAGTTACAGTGGTCTTTCTTGGACTCCTTGTATCTCTGTAAATTACCTTGGTTATTACTTGCAACTTTACCCTTCTCATTTCTGTATAAATGTATGCACCTCGATTTATAGGTGTGTGTGCTGCAAGCTCCAGCTTTGCTGCCATTCTGGTCTACAAAAGCATGGCTTGCCACACTTCCAAATAAATGTGTATAAATCTTTGAAGGTCAGAGGACTGGAGGAAAGCAAATGTCACTCCTGTCTTCAAAAAGGGCAAGAAGGAGGACCCGGGTAACTATAGACCGGTTAGCCTCACCTCCGTTCCTGGGAAAGTGATGGAACACCTTGTCCTTGGTGCCATCTTAAGGCATATCAAGGATAAGAGGGTTATGAGGGGCAGTCAACATGGCTTCAACATGGGGAAGTCGTGCTTGACCAATCTCGTAGCCTTTTATGAGGAAATAACACGGTGGATGGATGATGGTAGAGCGGTGGATGTGGTCTACCTTGACTTCAGCAAAGCGTTTGACACGGTCTCCCACAGCATCCTCGCAGCCAAATTAAGGAAGTGTGGTCTGGATGATCGGGTAGCGAGGTGGACTGTGAACTGGCTGAAGGAGAGAAGCCAGAGAGATGTAGTCTATGGGGCGGAGTCTAGTTGGAGGCCTGTATCTAGTGGAGTGCCTCAAGGGTCGGTACTGGGACCAGTATTATTTAATATATTCATCAACGATTTAGATGAGGGAATTGAGTGTACTATCAGCAAGTTTGCTGATGACACTAAGCTGGGGTGGCGGCGCCAGAAGGCTGTGCTGCCATCCAGAGAGACCTGGACAGGCTGGAGAGTTGGGCGGGGAATAACTTGATGAAATATAACAAGGGAAAGTGTAGAGTCCTGCATCTGGGCAGGAACAACCCCAGGTTCCAGTATAGGCTGGGGAACGACCTGTTAGAGAGCAGTGTAGGGGAGAGGGACCTGGGGGTCCTGGTGGACGACAGGGTGACCATGAGCCGACACTGTGCCCTTGTGGCCAAGAAGGCCAATGGCATCCTGGGTTGTATTAGAAGGGGGGTGGTTAGTAGGTCGAGAGAGGTCCTCCTTCCCCTCTACTCTGCCCTGGTGAGACCTCATCTGGAATATTGTGTCCAGTTCTGGGCCCCTCAGTTTAAAAAGGACAGGGACCTGCTGGAGAGAGTCCAGCGCAGGGCAACTAAGATGATTAAGGGAGTGGAGCATCTCCCTTATGAGGAAAGACTGAGGGAGCTGGGTCTCTATAGTTTGGAGAAGAGGAGATTGAGGGGTGACCTTATTAGTGTATATAAATATATAAAGGGGGAGTGTCACGAGGATGGAGCCAGGCTCTTCTCAGTGGCAAACAATGAAAGGACAAGGGGTAATGGATACAAATTGGAGCACAAGAGGTTCCACTTAAACCTGAGAAGAAACTTCTTCTCAGTGAGGGTGACGGAACACTGGAATAGGCTGCCCAGGGAGGTTGTGGAATCTCCTTCTTTGGAGACATTCAAAACCCGCCTGGACACTTCCTGTGTAACCTTATCTAGGTGTTCCTGCTCCGGCAGGGGGATTGGACTAGATGATCTTTTGAGGTCCCTTCCAATCTCTAACATACTGTGATACTGTGATACTGTGACCCACCAATTTGCACAGAAGAGAATGCACAAACTGGAGGTGTTATTTCAAAGTGTCCTTGTTCAGTTTTGGATTGCAGATAGTCTTTTCACTACCTAAGGTAGAACACTGGTGTGAAGAAAAGCTTTGGTAATACCAGATTTGTTCTCAAGCTGACAGAATTAGAAAAGGCTATATTGGAGAGCAGTATGTCATTTTTATTAACAGGCTAACTTTTCTGGATTTATAGGGTGTGAGGATTGTGGTAAAAGCCTTATAGGAGAATGCAAACTCCACGGACCACTCATCAAGGCTAAAGACAGGGTTATTCCTAGCCGAGCCCGTCTCACCCTACCTCATTACCTCACTTTGCGAGTGTTGGAGCTGCGAGCTGGAAACCAGCAGAGTAAGTATTTTAGCTCTTTTTCCCACATTTGAGAAAGAGGAGGCAAAAGAACTAACACTGGCTTTTTTCATTAGTAACTCAAGTCATAATCACTGGGTATTAACATTATGAAGACTACTTTATTTTCAGCTGAGGAAAGCTAAAGCTCACATTCAGCTACTGTTTGTTTTTTTATGACTGACTTCTAGTAACTTCAGTGCACTGATGAAGACTGATGGTAGGACATTAGCCAGACCTGGTGTGACATTTAGCTGTGAGCAGTTATCTCTGTCAGTCAATACAAGTTTAATGAATGTTGAATTTGTGTCTAATAATAGCATGTACTATTACATTATCTTTTTTTTTTCTTTTCCCTAAGCATGCAAAACAGGAAAGAGTATTCGATAAGATGTCAGAAACAAAATGGTAAATAGCATCCCTCATCCACCCCCTGCAAACTCAAAACAACACAGGAGGTTAATTTACCTTTTGCACCATCTTCAGTTCATATTCTAGAACGACTGTTGTTTCCTTCAGAGGGCAGGGCAATTTGAATGCCCACACTTGAAGATGGGAACAACATCTTTAGTGTGCAAATTTTCCAAAGCTATTTTATGTAAAATTAGCCCTTCCTAGATTGCGTTTCAGAAAGAGAGTAACAAGATGTGTACTGTGTCACACCATTGGTATTAGGCAGCAGAATAACTGGAATGATTAACACAACTAACGTGTTTTATAAATTCTCTTCACTCACAGTGGGAGAGAACAACCTCAAATTATGTCAACAAACAGAGTACTATGATAACATCAGCTTTTAGATTGAAAAGTATCAACACATTCATGTTGCATACTCAATTTAATATCCTGCCATGATTTTAGGTGCTTTTGTATTCAGTGTAATGCCCATTTTAAAAAAGCTTTGTGCATATTTAAATCCTTTTTTATATTCTTTCCATTAGAATTACTTACCTGGGTTATTTGTCTAGAAGAAGAACCCATGTGTTCTGCACTATTGTGTTTTATCTCCATTTTCACAACTGTCAATATACAAGAAATAATTTGTTATCTATATGTTAACATTAGACTTATTTTTTTTTTTTCATTCATAGTCCTTGGAGTATTTGCAAAGAAAGTAATACAGAAGAGAACACAGTTTGGTCCTTATGTTGGTCAACTGTCTACAAAACTGACCTGCTATGATGACAGCAGGCTAGTCCTGCAGGTAAAAACCCAGTGACTTACTATAAAGTATGTTTCTTTAACAATTCATATTCATGTATTTTAACCATTTCATATTCATGTCATTTAACCATTCAATTTGCTGTCTGATTTAGCGAATGAATTTTACTCCTGATCTGTATGTATGAATGCAAATCATGTTGTTGGACAGCACAGCATAATCTGAAGTATCAAAATGTTATTTTATATTGTGTTTTCTAGAAGTTTGCATTCCTGCTTTCTAGTTTTGCCACTTTCAGAGTGATTTATCTCTCAGTCTGACAGCTCTTGATAATTCACAGAGCATGGCTACTGAAAGTATCCAAGGATAGTACTGTCTACCCAGATAAAAAAACAGGATTTACGCTTAACACCATACCACTGGGAGAGATAACCTTATTCGCTGAGTTAGCAATAGTGACACAAATATGTGCTAAGACACCTGTTTAATAGGGAGGAACAGTGCAGAGATGGGGAACACTTTTTAATGATGTGATTATATATAAACACCGTGCACTAACTCTGTTTACTTAGGTTGTTATTTGGGCTGGTATCACCCCTTGTGGCATGTGCAGATACTGATCATCTCATCTGGACTGTGGCACTGTTGTTTGTGCTTTATCCAGCACAAACCATGGTCTCTCAGGATCAATCTAGCTTAGACACATCTACATGCACATGCTTTCCCACATGAATTCCTTGGGAGTGATACTTGATTGTAATCCTCTAGACCCATCTTTGCGTTTTGCTGCATGGGATCATGCCTGGGCACACCTCTCTGTCATACAGCAAATCTGTGGTCAAGCCACAGCTCCCATCAGGACTGCATTTTGAATCAGGCCTTCTCACCCCTCAGGAGATGGGGACAAGCAGCGTCTGTCCTGTGACATGCTTTATGCCTTCATTTGAGCTGTCTCCAGAGGCTTGGGACTGGAAAACACTGTGTTGTGGAGGAAGGCATAGATACAGATACTTCCGTAGCTGCATTTGAGAGCAGAAGTAATTAGCTTCAGTAATTGCTGTAAACTTCATTTGCTTATGGAAGTGACATGAATGGTCTTCCAGGAAAGTAACACTATCCTTCTGTGGAATTTTCATGGCTTGTTGACGCCAGAGAAGATTTGTTCTTCTCCATAAATAAATCTCTTCTTTTTATGAGACACTTTAATTCTTATGTGGAATTAAACGTACTTCTGTAACAAGCAGAAACTAGTGCTTCTCTTTCTGCAGCAAACGTACTTCTCTAACCAGCTTGCAAGCATGGATGAGCTAAGCACCCAGTTCCTTCCTCTTCACCAAGCCATTGTAAGCCACACCCTATTCTCTATCAGTCAGCTGCATTTGCTTAAAAGCATACAGTGATAAGCGTAGTTCTGGCTGATGAATGGACTGTTTCTTCAGAAGAGTCCAGTTTTCCTATATGACATCAGTGGCTGCCTTGATTCTCCCTAGCAGCATTTTGAGTATGTGACCAGACTTGTCCAACAGCAGATGTCTTCATCAGACACATGATGAAATTTGATAAAATAGTTCCCAGAAGCAGTGGAAATACAGCAGGGTTTTTTGCAATTAATTCTCAGTTACATGATTGGTAGAAAGATAAGTGCTGTGCTGACATCTATTGTGCAGCTTCAGCTGTCCATGTTTAAGACTATATTGCAGAAAAGCAATTGCCTTGTATGAGGTTGGGAGCATTTGTCTTGGAGATGCAATGTCTTGGAAAGGAGTCTCAAAGAATGAAGTAAAGGAAAAAGATCTTTCTGACACAATTGTTCATTTGTATTTACTTTTACATTGTTAAGGGGAAAAAGAGAAGACTGTTAAAATCCCATTATATTGTATGTTACCTCTTTGGACTTACTACACAAGTTATATAATTGTTCCACTCAAAATGTAGCATGAATACAGCATTGAAGTTTGAGATTATCAAGTACTCAGGAAGTACATTAGGGCATAAAGCTTATCTTTCTACCTGCCTGCACTTAGTTCTTATAATATTATCTTTATATAACACAAAAATGATGAAATATAAACTGGAAATACAAAAGCGTACAGTTACTTTAGTAGTTGGGTGCTCAGCAGGTATTCATTCTTCACTTTCCTTTGCACTCGGTATTCTTTAAGAGTGATCTACTTCAAAACAACCACAATTTCAAAGGACGTATGACCAAGACAGAGTAAATAACTGATAACCGTGATTCTGATTTAAAGAAAGCTATGTGCCTCTGTACAGGGCTTTGTTTTATCATGTTCCTTCTCCTGTCCTCTTCCTTTGTTTCAGGTATTGAAAGATGGAGGGAAGTATTTTCTGGACACTCCCAATGAAGACTGTGGAAACTGGATGATGTTTGTCCGGCTAGCCCGGAACCAAGAAGAACAGACCCTTGTGGCTTATCAGCACTGTGGAGAAGTCTACTTCACAACTGTTAAGGTAATTAAACCCACATTGTTTCATCCGTCACCCAAATGGAAATTTATAAGCAAAGTTTCTGAAAGACTAACACTTTTACAGATGAAAGATTGATTGTGTTCTGCTAAATAGATCTTTATTATATACCACCTTTTACATCACTTAATCTGTAAGAAAGCAAGCAGCATATGGCATTTTCCAGTAAAAGGTGGTGTGTACTTGCTGTTGTGGGTAGTGAATAAAGCAAGCAGAGGGAAACAGAAATATCATTTGTGATGGCAGTGTTTAAACATGAATGTTGGAACTTCTTCAGTTCCAGATATGTACATAGTGAGATTATTTAGCATTGTTACATTCAACAGTGCTTCATCCTGGAAAGAACAAACACATTCCTTTCCTTTATTACATTTTTGGATACAAATTCCAAGCACATTACCAGGTGCTCAGGCACCGGTGCTGAGTAGAATCTGTAGGTGCTGTTTTCTGTGCTGATTAAAGCTCTGAAAACTTAACTGCAGAACTTACTGCAGTGTTGCTGGGAAATGATCAGTTTGTGATAGAGATTCTGAACTGTGCCTTTGAGGATACAGAACAAAGTACTCTATATTTTTAAAAGACAGTGGAACATTAAGTCTTGTGTTTTGTTTTGGCCACTTTCTCAGGCAGGGTTTGTTTTAATCAGAACTTACTGTTTCATACCCTTAGGAAAATGAAGTCTGTATGTTGAACATTTGTTTTCCTTTTTAATTTTTAAGTTAATTCTTGTACATCACTGTGAGCAACATTAAAAAAAATGGTCAAAAGGAGTTATAAATCCACCATTTCAATTTAATTTCCAAGATTGACATGTATTTCTGTGACTGTCCCACAGAAATGTATTTACTTTTGTTCCTCTGTTTTTGTTTTCCACCTGCATGGTGAGAAAAATATTTACCACACAGTGATGATGTGAAAATAAGTTAATAGTGATAACATTTCATGCCTTCGAAGTCCTTTATAACAGTATGAAGTATAGTTGCTTTTGGAGTCATATTAAAATAATTACTGTTTTAAAAGAAAATCAACGTAAACCAGTATATGCTAATCTGAAACATTGTTTAGGCTGCGCAGTCCATACCATTCACGATTTCAATTTGATTTTAAATGTATGCTATACTTGTAGAACTGACAGGATTAATAATACTGTATTTGGAAAGCATGAACAAATGTTTTTCTAAGCAGTTGTAGTTACGAACTGGTAACGTACAGTTTCCAGTATAATTTAAATACTATTGATCCAGCTCTCTGCTGACTTAAGCAGAACTCCGCTCATTGGCATTAATGGAGAGTTGCTTCCTGACATGAAGAGTATCTTAGGATGAAGAATATGTCTTGGAACCTTTACTATGCTGTGTATCATAGGGAATGACTTGTGGTTTATTTCTGCTAAGTCTCAGTGTCCTTCAGGCATCATGCAGATTTTGTCCTGGTCAGTGAAAGTGACAGCCTTTTGTTACACGTAGGCACACCCTGCTGGTCATAGCATGAGCCTGCCTTAGGGTTGGTTATGAAGGTGTTTTCTCAAAATACTTTGAATAAAGTCTGTTAAATTGGCAGCAAAAGGATTGGCTCCTCTCCCCACTGTTCTACAAAGAGATGGGATTTCGGTGATGTGAAACTGCAGCTACAAAAGCATGCATGCAAGTGGCATGCTAACAGCACCATTACCATACTTGCTGAAATAATGACTGCAGTCCCTAGAAATAAGTACTTCTTTAAAGTAAAGAAGTAAAAATAATCTGCAGTTCTTGGTCTAATCACAGGAAGGTTTCACGTGGGCACTGCCATCACTTTCTCTTACTGTCACAGGTGACAGGGTAAATGACAACTTGTTGTGGATTCAGATACTGGTATTTAATCTCAGTTTTACTGAGATCAGAGCTTTTAGCTTATGCTGATGCACTTGCTCTCCCTCCAGGCCACATTGACTGTGTCTCAGCTTCTCACAGGGGAGTTCACTGCTTGTCCAGGAGTGTCAGGTCATGACAGTATCATGCTGTACAGCTGTTTGCGGGTACCAGTCTCAGGGGTCACCGGCCAAGGTCCTGGGGCACCTCCAGGCGCATTTGACTCTATGGAGCTCCCCCAGGCTTGGTTTCCTCCATCTGAACAGACTATATGCAGGAGTGGAATGGATGATCAGCCTCCTAGTTGGCGGTGGCCCTGCCTCTTGTCTTTTATTGAGTAGAAAATTCAGCACATACCATTTCTGTTTAGGCCAGGTATTAATCAAAACAACACAACCAACCCATACTGGTTGTAGTTGGCAAGCAGGCTTGTGCTTGGGAGTTCAAAGTTCAGTTTTTGATATTATACACACAATTACCTGTCATTTGTCAGCATTCACAATCTAAGTTGTCTTTCACCTACCACACTTATCCAACACCAGTGGTATAAAATAAGTGCATTTTAAGATGTCCTATTTGGCATGTGGAGTAAGACTCAGCTGCTCTCCTTCCATGTTAGTTTGTTCTTTTCAGTGGCACAAGTTTAGCTTAGTTAAAATAAAACTAGAAGTACAGTGCAGATTGGCTCTACCTCTGTTGCAATGTTGGGTTTTATTATAGATTGAGAAAATAGGGTACAGAGCCGGGGTGTCATATAAATCATGACCCCAAAGTTCGTTCTCTCTTTTGCTTTTAAATAACTAATAGATCTTTAGTCAGTGAGTGCAATCATCCCTCTCTTTTTCTATTTGCTGTATTATTGACTGAAAGTATTTGTCAGAGGAGGTCATAGTCCAGTCCAAGGAAAGATTTGGGCAGGCATAACTGAATGAGACTGCAGATTATGGGCTCCCATAGTCCTGTGTGTGAAGGCTTTAGTGAAAAGAGGGCAGAGGTACAGTAAAGCACATGCATACTGAGCCTGACACATTAGAGCTAGTGCATGGATACATGCAAATTTCACTTGGAGGTCACATATTGATCAGCACTGCATCCGTGCTCAGTGAGTGCAACATAACCCAAAGGCATCCAAGCTGTTGTGCATTCATGATGCATTTTTTCCTTTGCCTGTACCTGTAGTTAAGCGTTATGTCCAGTAGGCCTTGAGATAACAAGGAATAGGCATAGGATATCGTTTGGAAAGGTTGCTGGATGGGTGGACATCACAGACAAATACATTTCCAACCTAGTTGATTCTGTGATCTCACTGAGCAAAGGTCATGAGGGCTGAGGCACCGCTCCTGCTACTCTCCCTCACAGTCTGTACATACACATTTCCGCTTTTAGAAACTGTGAAAGTGACAAGCCCTAGGGGATAGTAATGCTCAAAAAGTGCTTAAATCTTGAAACTAAGTTACCAAAAATTTAAAGAGATTCAAAGAATGAAACTTGGGTAAGGACAAAAATTCCCACACTCCCACCCCTCCAATCTTGTGTATTATTTGATGTAGGAAAACAGACACAAGTAAACATGTGCCATTTTCTTCCATTCTCAGGCAATTGAACCACACACGGAATTGAAAGTATGGTATGCTGCCGATTATGCCAAATTTATGGAAGCTTCTGCAGTCTTCATTAAAGAAGAATCTGATGTCTGTCCTTTGCCTCCAGTAGCAGTAAGTACCCATAATCTGCATATAAACCATCACCAGACATAGTAAATTATGATTTATTTACATGCTGTCTCTGTTTATGTAACTCATGTAATGCTAAGGTAGACCACAAAGCCAAGAGCAATTTTAACCAAACAGCTACTCAGAGAAAGGCTACCCTTCCTGTGTTTGTTATCCAATGGAGCCATTAGATATAGCCACAAGTAAGTGGGATGTGTTGGAAAGACTAATTTGTAGATAACCAAGCTGTCCAGCCTCAGACTTTTTTCATCAGGTCGCCTTTGTTATGCTTTGTCCAGATGGTCAGCTGATGCACTGATTATTTCAGTCTTTCCTGTGCCTTAACTTTTCTAATCCTAATACCTTCCCCTCCTATGACAATAGGAATCCTTAAACTGATACGAAAAAATTGTTATGTGTTGAAAATGTGGCCATGAAGATGGACACCTAAGCTAGAAGGAAACGTTAAACAGGAAGTACAAATGAGCCAGGAATTCAGAGGTGCCACAGGAAGGGAAGTAATCCCATTGCTGCTTTCATGTATGAGGCCCAGAAAGAAGGTGTAGGAGGGCCACAGCATCAGACATGGGTAAGGGAGGCAGGCTCAATCTGTAATTATAGGCAGAGTGGACATAGACTCACCATGCTCTCCAGAGCAAGATAGCTCAAAAGCAAGGGAAAATAAATATGGGTTATGAGAAGGTTATGTAAAACATAGAGACAGCTAAGAAAGTACATGGTCATGTATTAACTTGAAGTATATTTCGTTGGTGACTGGGTGTTTTTTTGTAATTGTTTTTCTGTGGAATTTTTAGAATGTCAATATTTAAAGTGAATTTAGCTGAATCCAGTGTAACTTATTTTCCACGGAAATAGGACTTTCAAATAATGCACTGTTTTGCAAAAAAAAAATAACGCCTCTAAGTCAGGATAGGCTTGAGATGCACAAACCAAAGGTGTTTCTTGTTGAATTTAAGGAGGTCTGATGCCAAATGTGAGGAAGTCTGGCCTGGCGACATTGCCCGTTGCTGTCTAGTAAACCATGGAGTCAGCCCAAAACATAGGGAAATCCTGTATGGCTAAACTACATTTGTGTGGAGAACCCCACCTAATTCACATATGGTCACAATAGCAGATAAATTGAGTCAGTCTAAGCATAAAGTACAATTTGCAACTGCTTTTATGAATAATTCTGTAAAAGAAACAAATGTAGGGACTCTGAAATTCAGTAGGCACAGAAAAACAAAGGTCAAGGACTCAGAATTGTTACAGTAAACACTAAACAAAAACATGGAAATCCTTATTTAGCCAACCACATTTTTTTTCCTTTGAGTTTGTAGACTCCTAGAGAGAATCCATTTCCAGTCGAAAAACTGTGTGGTAGTATATTGAAGTAAGTATCGCCAAGGACAACAACAAGTCTTGGCAAAGCCCAGAAGAAGATGGGAAGTGAGAATGACCTTTCCTTAGAATGGCTAATAAGAAAGATCTGTTTCTGTTCTCATTGCAGAAAGAGCCCGCAGACCCTTGGATATGTTCCAGCTGTGGAGGCACTTTCGCAACTTTTGCTTTGTTGGAATCTCACCAGTGCATCCATAAAGACCGAGTCCTTACCACCAGGATCAGACCACCAAATAAACTGGGACCCATAAAAGCAAAAAGCAAACTCAAAGGGAAACTAAGAGGAGCTGCATTAGGCAAAAGCATTGCTCAGTGCTTTGGGACCATTTCCTCTGCTGCGAAGCTTAGCTGTGCCAGCTCAGGAAGCCCTTGTGATGCCCTTGTGAGGCTTATACCTAAATGGAGAAATGGCCGGTCTTCACTCTTGAAGGGAAGAGAAGTGAAGCAGCCAGCCAGTTACCCTTGCCGACTCTGTGGGAAGATATTCGATTCCATTAACAAGCGCAGAGTCCACACTTACGTGCACAAAGCAGAGCGCCCCTACAAGTGTTCGCAGTACGGATGCACAAAAGCCTTCATTTCCAGATATAAACTGCTCAGGTATAGCTCTAAAGGCACTCCATTTCTGGTGGGGGTGTGAGGAAAAAAACCAAGGACATCTCTTTAATTTGGGGTGTCCTAGTGAGAGTTAATCCCTGAGTTCCAGTTTTTATTATTCCTGGTTTGGTAGAATTAGAGAAAACTGAGTAGCAATTGCAGCGGCTACTCAGTAAGATTACGTTGAGCAGTTTTAACCTGCTCTGCTTTAATGCCTTCCTTCTCACCCCAAAAATGTTAGGCTATTACTAATAATCTGAGAACTTGTGAAAATGCCTTTCTTCAGGAGTGACAAGTTTTTCAAGTCTTATAGCTGCCAGAGTAAAGGTACTGGAGTAAATGTAAATGCAGATAACTTTTGGTTTCTATTTTTTTTTGTCTTAGGCACTCAGCCATTCATTCTCCACAGAAGTCTCACCAGTGTGGCTACTGTGAAAAGACCTTTCACAGGAAAGACCATCTAAAGAATCACCTTCAGACTCATGACCCTAACAAGATGGCCTTCAAGTGTGAAGAGTGTGGCAAGAAGTACAACACCAAGCTAGGCTATAAGAGACACTTGGCTCTTCATGCAGCCACCAGTGGGGACCTTACCTGTAGAGTATGTGCCCAGGAGTTTGGTGGTACTGAAGTTTTGCTGGAACACCTTAAAAGCCATGCAGGGAGACCAACCGGCAATACAAAAGAGAAGAAACATAAGTGTGACCACTGTGAGCGTCACTTCTATACCCGTAAAGATGTGCGGCGTCACATGGTAGTTCATACAGGCTGCAAAGACTTTCTGTGCCAGTTTTGTGCCCAGAGGTTTGGGCGGAAAGACCACTTGACTCGCCATACTAGGAAGACCCATCCACAAGAGCTGCTGAAGAGCAGGTTGCAGAATGGAGACTCAGTGGGTCTCCTTGACCAGCTTTTTCCACTAAGACTGAAACAAGATGCCAGCATACTATCCCCTTTTCCTGAAAATGTCTCTGTGCAAAATGGGCTTTTGAATAGTTCACAGTCAGAGGAATACATTCTTCATTCCCAGCCAAGCTTACCAACTGCCCTTCCTCTTGACCCTTCTCCTCACTTGCAAAGGATGGGCTGTGCAGACAGCCTTCCAGCTGTCCATACCACACCATGCTCAACAGCCATTCCTACCAACCTGAACCTGCATCAGCCTAATAAATACGACCTTAGTTCTACCTCATTTGCAGCAGGATCCCTCAAAAATCTACCGATAAAAGTGGATGTTAAAGGTTATAATGTGCATCTTCCTGAGGACCTGCCATTAACAGAACCTCAGTCTCTCCACAAAATCATTCTGGAAGAAGCTTCCTCAGGGCCTGTAGGGGATACTAACAAGTACCCAGTGCACAAGGAGACAGAGGCAGCAGCTGAAACTATGAGCCTGCCTTTCATGGATCTCACTCATGTGATGGGTTTCTGGCAGCTCCCACCAGGTGACAACCAGAACACCACTGGGGACATCACAATGGCATTTGGTCCAGAGGAGCCGTTACACAGGCTGAATGGCCTTGGCCAACAGCAAGGTCTTCAGCTAGCAACTGGCGGGATGGCCATAAACCAGCTGCATCATCTTCCCCGCTCCTTTCCATCCACTACAAATTCTGTAACATTGCCTCATTTTCATCATGCCTTCAAATAACTATCACCATGGTTTGAAGGGGTTTTTTTCCTTCTTTTTTTTAAGACTCTGCTTCTTACTTAAGGCTGTTAGGATGGGGTGGTTCTGGTTTTGTTTTGAACAAAAACTTACCCAAAATGTTTTCAAAGCGTATTATGAACATGGCTGGTAGTCAAATTCAGGATGTTAATAAACAAGAAGTTCTATTTTTCATACTACTATTAGTTTTTTAGCGTATTATGATAGTAGTAGAGCTAACCTATTTCCCTCAACACCCTCTATATTTTTGTTTCTTACCTTTTACACAAACAGCTGAATAAATATCTTCAATGATAGCAAGGCATTGTAACAGGCACAATAAACCTATGGCTGCTGCGGTAGGATAAGTAGGGTTAGGGTGAATGGGAAGAAGGGGGAAATCACAGAAAAATAATGAGCCATAAATCACAGCATATTTATACACATGGCAAATGGAACAACCGATTTATCAGCATCTCATAGATTTCTGTTAAGCATTTAATTATTGAACTTGATGAATCTTTAATTCAAATCAGAATCGTCCCAAGAATAAATCTTACCCTCTTGTTCCCCTTTTTTTAAAATGAAGGAGATCACTTTTGTGATTATGCTTGACTAGGTTTTGTTTTCTGAAGTGCACTTCAGCTGTGTGCATCATCTGTATTTTTTCCTAGGGTTGGAAATAACTACCACTTCTGCATGACTGGGTAGCAGCCAATGTTTTATGTGCAGTTGTCAGAATCGGAAGAGAATTTTCTCAAAAGTTAGAGCAAAACATTAATTTTCACTAAGAGCAGAACCTGGCAAGATATCAGATACTGTTCTTTCTCTCTCTTGTAAATCACTGAAGCATATGCTTAAATTGAAGCATCTGTTATCCCACTGGGTCAACAGTTTGATTTAACGCTCAATAATAAATAATGCTTCCTACCTAAGGGGCCTGTATTCACCTTTTGTTGATAAAAATGGCCTTTTTTAGTCCAGGAAGTGACTATTAATCATAGCCATCTGAAATGTGGATTTCTTCATGGGGGGGAGCCTGTGCCCAAGCAGGATCTCTGTGGGGCCAGGGGCAGGTCCACACAGAAGGGTTGTGGTGGTGAGCTGACACTGGGTCCTGTTTGAAACCAGGTTATGAACCTGCCTCACAAGTGTCGCCTGAAATTAGTAAGCATAATAATAGTTGAGGCCAGTTTAATCACAGGGAGTTTGCTCAGTAACACTGGGACAGCCAGAGTTGGGCTTCCAGCCTTTGTTTCTTCCAGCTTTGTTTCCTGGGGTGAATTGTCCATGTAGATTTCCAGTTTACAGTGTGTTGGTGTGACAGTCCTATCACCTGATGCATGAACTAGCAAAAGCTGCAAAAGCCATATCTGGCAGTAGATGACATTAAAAACAAACAACAACAAAACCAACACAACTCCACAACCCAACCACATTCTTCTCGGTCGCCTTTCTTGCTTAACCCATTATTATAAATAATATAAAATTAATCCTGGTTTTAGTGGATAATGCAGTTACTAAATGGATTCTGTTGCAACTAAAACAGACAGACTGTCTGAATCGGAGTAAATTCTCAAACCCCAAGAGCTACTCCTCCATTAAATAAAGAAAGAGTTAATAGTACCTAATGGCCATCACAAATACAGCCGCAAAGCATGTTCTCTTCTCCCCCATTAATCACAAGAATATTTCCAGACAGCTTCAAATCAAAAATGCTTCTTAAAGAATTGCTGTTAATGAACTACAGTGGCATTGTATGTGAACTACAATGATCTGAATATTGTTAAAATGTTATCAGTACTTGGATTAAGGAAATGTTGTATTACTGCAGTTCATGTGAGAGTGTGTTCTTCGGAGATGCTGCTGAGCGGTACTTTCTGTTATGAAAACTCCTGGCATAAGGCAAGCCAAAAGGAATTGTAAAAATCATTCGTGTAATGACAACAGCAGGAGGCAGAGCAGGTGCTGCACAGTCATGCCCAGTTAGCAGTGATTTAAATTACAAATTCCAGAATAGAGGGAAAAGGTTGCAAATGAAGTTAAATGCACAGTCTACAGCCAGGCTTGTATTTTCATCAGGACTTGGAAAGTTGTGTGTATATTCCTTTAATTCATTGTTTTCCTTGTTCGTGCAAATTGAATTCACTTGGCTTCATCTAAGCTTATGTACTTGTAAAAAAACCCACCAGATAACAAACACAACAAAAAACCCCACAAGTTCTGTAGCACTGCTTGATCATATACTGTTAATAGACATTCTGTCATTTTGGTTTGCACTTCTGTAAGAGGTGTAACTAATTACAGAAATATTTGTCGTTGAATTGAAACATGATGTTAAAATGAAAACGTTATGCAAATACTGAGCTAGACTGGAGCCCACATTCTTTCAACTGCTTGACTGCAGCCGGGTGCCTGAGCTCTGAGCTGCTAAGGGAGGTACTGCTGCCTGGTGTGTTGGTGAGAGATGCTTATCGTATGTAACTACAGGTTAACAAGTCCCATTCAAATAAGAAGAAAATAACCACTTCGATATTAAAATGCTTAAGAAGCACCTGATGGTGCCTATAGCTACACAGATCCAAACCTTAAATGTGTAACAGTACGGCTTTATCCCTTCAGTCCATTCAAATCTCTTTTTCCAGTTCTTGACATCATAAATGCAGATGAAGCTGATGATGTCTCATCACAAAGGAAGGGAAGTTATTTCAAAAGTTATGTTTGCAGGAAAATGGTTTTGTTTCAAAATTCTCACAACTCGGGAGATCCCCCAAGTCATCTAATACTTCAAAGTAGGGCTGGACTTCCCTGTAGCTTTTGTCAGGGGGACTTCTGTGAGCATTTCTGGGAGGCCAGCAGTAGCTGAGGCTCAAGAATGCTTTTTTTTTCCTAAGCAAACCAATACTTTGGGCTCAGGAGACCTTCCTGTTGTGCACCTGAATATCTCACTGGTCAAAGAACAAGTTTGCTTTTGGTGGCGGTAGGATCATAGGCCTGCCTGTGCTAAAGGAGAGGTGAGGAGACAGCAGCAAGTCTCCCTGGACTCACCTGAGGTGTCCAAGAGGGTGCGATGGTGGCAGGCAGGAATGCCTTCAGGCAGTGACAGTGGAGAAGGTAGCAAGAGCTGCAGGACATCTGTCTGGTGGCACTGCCTTTGGCTCACGCAGGGCTGCAACAGCACCAGTGAGGTGAGAGGCAGCCAGAGGCGTGGTGGAGGAAGAAGGCAGCGCAACCAGTGGCCGGTCCTCCCTCCTCTCTGGCACATCCCTCCTCTGAGTGGGAGAGGAGGATGCAAGGGCAGAGAGAAGCATGGGGAACATAGGATGGACCATAGATTAGCAGCTAAGAGACAGAACAGAAAGATCTGACTCAGACCTTGACAGAGATAAAAATACTCTTGTATCTGAACTCTGCTTGAAAAATCTGTAGAAGTGGAGCAACCTGTGCTGGTTAACAAATTACTATAATTAAATGATACCATAAAAGAGCAAAACTAATAAACATTTGTTCTCATACAAAAAAAACCTAATCTTTTTGTATATATAAAAGAAAAAGGAGCCATGTAAACTTGCAGAAATAAGGAGCTAAAATTATAGTACATAGAACAAAAGACTCTGCAGCCTCTATGTAAACAGAAGTATTGCTAGTGTTCAGTTCCCACCCCCTATCAGAAGCAACGCTCCTTTCTCTTTCCTTCAGTTTTATTTACCAACTATTGCTGTTGGGAGTCTCCCTTTTCTTAACCAGTGACTTGCTGTTAGTTCCAGAGTTTTTCACAGACAGTCTGACATAGGAGGGCATGTTCTTTGTATTAATGATCGGTTCATTTCCTCCTAACTGAATTTTTAAAGTACTGTCTTTCAACACCCCATTTCTGCCTCTATATTTTCTGTCAGATACTGGAAAATGAGCTGTGAAGTCCAACACTAATAGACACAGACAGAAAATAATGGGAGAACAACAAGAACTACAGTAAAACTTGCTCTAACTTTTCAGGATTAATTTAATTGGTCGTAAAAGACAGCGATTATGGTAACATTGCCCAGGAGAGTTTGTTGGGTTTTTTCTTCTTCTTCCTGTTTTGAATAAAAGGCTAAGCACTGCTTTAATGTATTTGGGCTACTTTAGTGCCTGCTGTTTCTAACAAGTCTAGCTCTAGGAGTTAAACTTGCTTGTCATCCTTTATCTGATCACTATTTGCTAGAGTCTGAGTAGAGTTTAATGAAACTCTGTAAAGTCTGATATTTATTATTGCTGTGTCCAACTACTTCTCATCTTCATTTACTTTGTAAACATTTAATAGGCAAGAAAATTCCTTATGCATTTTAATTGAAAGCCTTATTGGAAATTGTTGGGCTAAAAGAAACCCAACCTGTTGGAACACTGAGAGTTTATCAAGGTGATCCAAGACTGTTACGGGATCAGGTGGCCAAAAAATAAGAAGGGATCTGCCTCCACAACATTTCTGCCTTATCAATCAAGTTCTGAAAGTAATTAAAGTTTTTAATGCAAAACCGAGATTTGGTTTTAGTGTGAACTTGACGTGCTTTGAAGCTGATGCACAGCATACATGGCCATTTATCACTTACCAATCACTATCATTGATTGTTTACTGGAAGATTCTATTAAATACATTCATGAAATTAAAAAACATTCATTTGTTTTGTTCAATATATCAAAGTAAAGCATTTGGGGGAAAAAATTAATCACATGATACCGGATCTCCCTACATTTTCTTAAAACCATTGGAGACGCCACTGGCAATATCCCTCCCCTTTGTAGGCAATCAGTTAATTACACTTCAGCAACTGATACAGATAATCTCACGACTTTAAAAAGGACAGCATAAGAAGCTTTGTGCCTGGGGGGGAAGAGGGAGAGAAGACAGTGAACTTCAGTTTGCTGATTTTATTTAACGTGGTAGCTGTAGCACTTCAGGTGGAAGAGGTGCTGGAAGACTTAGGTGCTTAAGGTCTTCTATAATGCATCAGAGGAAAACTTTAACACAGCCTTGCTGATCAGCCACTCTATCTTCTGTTGTGCATTTGCAGTCTGAAAGCAGCAACAAGCCATATACTTGTTACTTGTATAGAAACTGCTGGTATAATTTACTCCACATTATCTAAGAAGATCAAACCGTAATCCTTGGGAAGGTTTATGGATGGAGCAGCTCATCCTGGAAACTACTTCCAGGCACATTAAGAATGAGAACATTTATTTGCACCACTTGAAGCCAGTTTCTCTCACTTGCTTTCTCAGCTGAAAAGCACTCTTGGGTAGCACTAGAACTGATCTCTCACTTGCCCAGAGTGCTCTGTAAAAGCACCTGGCAACACTCAAGTTTTACAGAAGATGCAGTTGCCAACAGCTCAGCACCTACAAGCCCACACAGGCCAGTTACTTCCACAGTTCCCAGGGACATAAAGAACTCTGTCCTGTGTTTTGGATGCTAGTGTGGGGTGTCTCTGCTGGGGACCTGCTGGAAGCACTGGCTGTCCTAAGCCTCTAAACTGGCTGCAAAAACAATTCCAGCAATTCCTGGACTCACCAGTGTCCATAGGGAAAGAGGTGTCTCCTCTCCAAGCCTGTCAAGCCCCCAGTTTCAGAGTTCAGTGGCTAAATCTTGAGAGCAGTGATGGCATCAATAAATCCCTATTGGTCTGCAAGACTTCACATGATAACCATAAAAGTTACTACACTGTTAACACAGTCACAAGTAATCAGGGGAGTGGGGAACACCAGATGAGAGCACTGGGTACTGTCAATAGTTTTTGCTGTAGCTGGCAAAGTCAGGGAGGTCAGTAGTGTCAACGGTGGACTGTGGACTTAACGCTCCCATGCCCATTGCAATCCTCCCAACAGCCACTGAGCATCTGCAATCAAGGCAGAAAAACTCCACATAAAAGGACCCTGCAAAGACTATGAGTCTCTGCAGCAGACTGTTTGTACATGTTAGTATTCATCTCACCATCTAAGTAAGCACTTTTATAAGCTCATCTCTCCTGCTCAAGATGTGTTGCCAGCTACAGGGAACACCTTGGCTATGTTCCCTCCCAGTATCTCATATTCTGCAGTCATATGCATCTCACAGGGGTGCAAGATGCTGATCATCTGAGCCACCCCCTTGCACAAAAGCACCACAATCCCCTTATGCAAGGGCTGGAAGCTTTTTTTTGCTGCTCGGACATGGCTCTGCATGGCCCAAGACGGGAAAAACACTTGAACTGCATGGTCTGAAGAGCAGAAGCACCAAACACCATAGTCTGGGAAAGTAAACGTTACAGAGAAGAAAGAACCTCCACACCATCATCCTGACATACTGAAATGGATGCTGGCATCTTCCTCACTTGGAAGCACATGGTGAGAGCATGAGATGGGCTACCGAGGTTTGCATTACCAATATTCTCAGCAGCCTATACTGGGGACATGAGGAGCTCTGCAAGTTTTCAGTGCAGTTGATTGATTCAGTTAATGCAAAGAAGTTCATACTGCAAACACAAGTATATCAACAAGCATATCAAGTATGATATCAACAAGATATTGTACATACACAGAAGCACACAAGGTCCTTTTATGTTATAAAGTTGAAATAATAAAAATAAATAATTTCTTACCCAAATGCTCCTGAAGACTTTTGTCCAGTTGATGCACCCAAAGATTTTCTGGGTTTCTGTACTATTCCTGAAGAGGTCTCTGCAGATCATTGTTAAAACAAAACATCATAACCCACATAAATTCAACATGAAACCCAGAAATGTAGGGATCAAAGATACTGATACAAAGAGCAGTATGTGTTATCATTTGTAGATTATACTGCAAATAACCATTAAAATAACATTGTAAAACATCTTCTAAACATAGACTGAGTACAGGTCATGATTACCAGTAGCAATGGGTGCTAACAAACACATTATATAGTATTCTGCTTAGAGGGAACTGTTTTAGGGATGTAGCAATGTTAATTTTAAGGCTGAATCAACAAGGGGAAATTCATATAGAACAAACAATATAAAAGTTTGATGCTTCATCTAAATAGACTTAAGATACAGAAGACTGAATGAATCTTAAAATTGAAGATTAAGGGTTATGAAGTCCTTTATGGGACAGAAGAAACCTCACACCCAGACTGCATATTTTAGTTCCATATAGACAATTCTGTTTGAGGAGCTATAACTGAAAAGGCTAAGAAGTGCCTCCTGAGTACCTGCATGCAAACCTCTGTTGTTTGCACTCAGCAGAATAGATGAGGATGATGACTGGTCAAGCCATTTAACATCAACAACATCAACTTGGAAATTTTTGACCTTTCTCATTTCTGACAAGTGTTGTACAGAAATGAGGTTACGATTTCATATCCTGGGCTTGAGAAAAAGAAACAAAAACCAACCAAACAAACCCCAAACCAACCAAAATAAAGAAATACATACATAAAAAATAGATCAATTTTTTTATTCTATCAGAGAACTGGATTCCAAAGCCCAGGATATGCTCTAAAAATGCCAACCCCTAACTCCAATACATCAGAGTTTCTTATGAGAAAAACATAGACATAGCTAAATGAACTCCTACCTGGCCTAGGTTTGTCTGTACTGGCACCTTCTTGTGCTCTCTTCTGAAGCGGTAATGCAGCAGCTGCTGGGGGTTTGCTCTGAGTCACCGGTTGCTTGCCCTGGGGAAAGAAGATCCACAGTCCACACTGAACTCCCGCAAGAGCCTGGTGAAAACTCCAAACTGCTGCTGAAGCAGTGCCAGGAAGAAACGGGGAAAAAGGTGCACCCCCTCTCACTTGGAAGCTTTTTTCCTGCCCAACATATGTAAAAGAGTAGTAAGATTTTCAAGCACATTAAAGAGAATCAGTACCCTCCTAAAGGAACTGCTTACATTAGTTTGAGGGTTTTTGTATAAATTAGGTGCTCACTTCAAGAGACTGCTGATGAGCTCCACTTTGCTGATCCCCAAAGGGGCTTAGCCCTTTGGCCTTGTGTCTAGCCACCAGGGAATAAAGCATCTATACATCTGCAGGGAACAGCAAACCTGCCAACAGCAGGGAGCCCTAATGAGCAGGAAGAGCTTTCTCTATGTATTGCAAAAGCTGACAGGTTCCTGCTTCCCTACAGCTGTTTCCCTGGAATCCATTCATGGAACAGTCTGAAGAAACTGGTGACCAACTTTCTTGTACTACCATAGTCTATCATTTTTTGTATAACTGGAGAGAAGAGACTTCAGTTTGGGGAAACCCTAGGCTGATATTCACCATGTACCTTGTCTTAAGAGTTTACCAACTTCCCTGGAGCCTGAACTTTTATAATATAGGTCTTTACTCACCCTAAGCTACAGTTTAGCAAATTTGCCTCCAGGACAAGGCAAGTGTGACTGTGTTTGCTTACCACTGGTCTAGTGGTCTTTGCAGCAAAGGCACGGCGGATGGCTTGTTCTTCGCAGAACTCCATGTGCCTCTCTGCTGCAGCTTCATTAAATCTTCGTCAGCAGTGTGGACACTGAATATAATCTGGCCATAAGAAAGGAACAACTTGAGTCAGTTTATACACTACAGGAGAAGGACTGCCTTGCTTTACTGGAGCACTCAAGATGCAGTTCAGAACCTTGCACCATCAGCAGATGACTGTGGTGAGCTCCCATCAGCTCCCAAAGTACAAACTTAGGAGAACTACAAAAACCTCCTCTTGAAAAGCACTTGGGATCCTAAAATACATGCTTACGGTATTGAACCAGCAAACAGTATTTGCTTTCAAAAATAAATCCCTGGGGACTGATACAAGCAGATTTTATTATCTTTGTCCTATTCCCACCCCCAATGTCACAATTAACAAGTCTGCAGAAAAAGCATTATTCAGAAGTTCCTGGAGCAGTCAAACCCAATGATTTTAAGACTTTTGGAGACTGGTCATCAAGATTTCTCTTTTGCAAAGCACTGCTGAAGAAGTTGTGCCCCACCAGCAGAGCCACACCCAAGAGCCAGGTTCCTGGGTGTGAAGCAGCACTGTGAAGAGCACACAGCAGTGCTTTTTACAGAGTCAGGTTTGAGTGTTACAGTTCTGATTCTAGTAAAAGCTATTCAGTGACATTTATCGCTGGTGCAGTCCTACCTGTTTCAATGAACAGTCAATGTTCAGGGTCAAGACAGTCACATTCAGCCCTTTCACCCCCCTCTCCATTCTCAGATCTCTCCCCCCTGACCAATACTGACCAGTACAGAACAGCCCAAGTGTCATTATCCTAATATTACAGATACAGTATCTTTACCAATTGCTTCTCTCAGTAAGATCCCAGAAAAGGTGGCCCAAGCAGCCACTGAAAGCCAGCTCCAGACCAGCAGCATGGGCAAAATGGTTCTGAATGCAGGGGAGAAGATGAGACAGAGCAGATGCTTTCTGGGTCTGTCAGGGGGACCTGGCACTTTAGGGGAGATCAGGGAGCTTTAGGCTCTATCAGGAGGAGGAGTAGAAGGAAGGGGAATACCTCTCTCTCCTCCCCATTATCCATGGGTCCTGTAGTACAGGGTGTAGTACAGGATATACAGGATATACATCCTCACTAGGCCCCTCAGCAACATGTCTTTCCTAAAAAGCAGTTCTCCAGTTCCTTTCTCCACAGCCACCACTGTTCTTGCACAGCTCAGTTTCCTCCAAGAGGGAGAAGGAAAGGGAGGAGTTAGACAAGAAATGACAGGAGTCATTAAGGAGTTCACCAGTGGAAGTTCAGAGAGGAGCTTGACCCCAATCAAGGAAGGAAGAGGTGTCCAGCTGCTTATACTGCATTGCTGCCATGTACTAGTGGAGAAAGGCTGGAATCACAGCAGCTGGTTTTGCTATCAGTCAATAATTCCTGCTCTGGAAGTAAGCTCAGAGAGCCCCCCCTTCCTTTCCTGCCCTCCACCTTCCTAATGCAGGCAGGACTCCACTAGGACCCTTTCCAAGACTGCTCCCACATTTCATAAATCACATCTCATGAGAAGTATTGGCTGTATGTGCTTCTTTTTGGATCCGTAACTTCTACCATGGTGAGCTCTGTGCCGAGACCACACCTGATATTAGTAGTAAACCAGACCCGTCTTTTTCTAAATGACTTCCCTTGTCTGCACAGCTGGGTGGGGAAGGGGATGGTAGAAAAACCACCACATGGGAGTGGGGAAGCCTGTGGGCACTACAGTTGTTCTGGATGGTGAGGGGTGAGCTTTCTCCTCCTCCCCATCACCTCTGCATTGCATTCCTACTCAATTTAAGCCAAGAAATGAAACTAACGTTCACATTGTGTTGTGCCAGGGGGTGCCAAGTGAAGCCCAGCAGTGGATAATAAGAGATCACCGCTTTACCAACTATCAGTACAGGAATGGCAATAAGATAAAGTAGACCACAAACCTGGGTTGATGCTTGGTGGGGGAGGAGGTGGAAGAGGGCTGCCCTCCTTCAGAGCTTTTGTGACCTGCTTGGCTGATCGAATAGCATTAATAAAATCCTCATGGTGCTGCCTCCAATTAGATTTCTTCTCTGGCTGTTTCTGTAATGGGAATAAAGGAAGGCACAAACTATATTTCCCCATTGCAAGGGACAAAGAAATATCTTAGGGTGAGGGTTTTTCCTTTCTGAGGGAAAGGAAAATATTACAGAAAAAGAAATTTACATTTTAAAAGCCGAATTAACCCTTTGCTGTCTACTGACAGCACCTGAAGATGGGTAAAAGAACAATGCACTCAAACAAAACACCGAGGTTGCAGCAGACCAAAAGGTGCTTAAGAGGGACCAGAATTGACACTATCACCCACACCTTCCCTTCTCCTCTGCTTGACAGATTCTTCTTCTTGCTTTAAACCTCTGTGCACTTCTGTTTCTTTCCATAACTGATTTTAAAGGACATTTGATGTCAGCCTGCATGGATACCAAATCGGCAGCAATTTGACATCTCTGGGTAAAATCACACGCATGCATATCCATATGTATTTCCCTCCTCCCCAGCAATGCATGAAAAGAACCTTGTTCCAGTAACAGCTTAAGCTTTTTGCCCTCCAGTTTTGTAAATAAGTTAAATTTAAATACATTTTTAAACCCTTGAGTTCAATAGCAATGAATCTCCATAGCTCCATCTGCAGATCCGGGCTACTGGCAGCTCTCAGGTACAGCCTGGGGCATTAATGCACCAACCACACTGGATCACTCTATTTCAGATTTAAGAGCAAGCTGACAGAGACTCACATAGTCTTTAAAATACGTGCACAAGCATTTCCTGGTCGAGCAGAGACACTTAACGTGCCCAGAGTAGTCACAACACCTACTGGTTTGGCTTCTGAAGGGGGAAATATCCTCAAACACTAGCGGCACAGGGAGGGGGAGGAAAGAATTTGGCACCAAGTCAAGCACATATGTGAGACTCATCCACAACATCCAGGCTTTGTCCTCAGAGGAAACAATAGCATTACTGATGAAAGACTTCATCTGAAGATAACACACAAGCTTCAATTTCAATTATACCTTTTGTGGGTGCTGCTTCCTAATGGTCATGATTTCTGTTCCCTGCAGTCTCTGCTTCATAGAGCTGAAGGGCTTGCGCTTCTTGTTGAAGACTTTCCTGCATATTGGATCATGTCTCAGCTGCGATGCAAAGCAAGAAAGTCATTTATAGGTTGAAGTCACTCTTTGTTAGCAATGCTTCCTTACTCAGGCTTTAAAATCACTGCTCTTCAGCAGCAGGAGCTGAAGCAGTATTTATTTCAGGTTCAGTTTAACTCCTAAAGGATTTCAGCAAAACTTTGAAGAGCTGTCCAAGTACAGCTGCAGTTCCACACAAATAAGGAATAGAAGCCATTTCCAGTTCTGCTCAGGGACATGCTGGAGGCCAGCACAAATAATGACTTGCAGAGAAGAATAGACTGGGGCTGTGAACAGGAACAGTCCTGTTGGGCTCCCCCTGCTCCCCAACACACTTGGTTTTCTTTCCTTCTTGGTTAAAGGGAAAACAGGCTGATCCTGCTCAAGAGGCCTATATTTACATTATTAGTTCTTTGAATTTATGAAAGTATTCTAGACCAGGGAAAAACAGCAGCACTGTTCATTCTGTTACCTCCACTGAAACAGTGACAGCCCCAGGGTGCAGGGAAGCAGCTGCTTACCAGCACACATAAGGCAACAGCTCAGGAGAACTAGGGTAACACCTGCAGCTGCGAGCACAGGGGAAGGTTAGGTAGGTAGATACTGGGTGCTCAATCTGTGGAAGAGCCACACCTCATGGCAAAGAGGTTTTAAGGTTCAGAAGTGTCTCAGATTTTAGCATCAACCTCACTCTTTTGCAGCAGGACGGGCAACCCCCTTTGTGAGGAACACAGTGAAAGCAAGGACCAATCTACCTCTTTCTCTTTTGTACTGTGGATCACACCTACTTGAGACCACCTGCAGCTGCTAAATTAAAGACTCCTTTCTTATCTTCCTTTGCTTACTCCCTTTTCCAGTTCTCAGTTACTCTACTCAATCTTTTCATTAATTTCTCTATGCCATCCACTCTTCCTCTAAGAGGTAAGCAGCTGCTTGCATTTTGGTTACAGCTCAGCTGGGCCAAACCCACCTCATTTCACTACAGCACACACTTCTAAATTCCCATTTCCCTTCGAATCTTTCTACTCATGTGCTTTGGGTCCTTATCTTCTGATTCTAGATATTTTTGATGGCAAGCCTGAGGATTCCTCTGCAGGACCAAGAGGGCAGCAGACACCTGCCAAGCAGGTACTGAGGACCACGTCAGTCCTGCATCACCAAGGCACAGAGAGGCATTACAGGATTTGTATCATGCTAGTCACAGTAACAAGACACTTCCTGTCTCCCTCAAAACATAGACAGCTGTCTGCTCAAATGGTTTTGTTAGAGCAAACCAGCATGTTCTTCATGTATCTGATCACAGATACCAAACACGGAACTACTAACACAGGGTATCTCCCCCTTCATCTCAGCACTCATAATCACTCAGCTTCCACCGTACTTTTCTTGTCTGTTTTTTGGTTTTTCACTGAATCGGACTTTAGTTCTGTCGTGGGGCTGATCTGATCTACCACAGAGCCACAGGATCAGTAATGCAAACTGAGGAGGGGAGGGGTGCATGCAGAGCCCACCCCTTGCAGAAAAACCCTGCTGTTGGGTTGTGCCAGGCAAACTGTGCAGCCACCCATTTAGTTCGTAATCCAGGGATCAGGGAGGTCAGGGGGAATCTTTTCATTCACTTCAGAAGGCTTTGGAACAGAGCCTGGTGCCCGCATTATGCTCTCAAAAGGACTACTTATCAGATGGTTTATTAGTCTGTTTTTCCCAGGAAGCCTGAAATAACAAGTTCTGCCTAGAAACCTGGAGACCAAAGGAAGCTTCAGGTTAGGAATTTATGTCTCACCAAGAGATAATGTAATTTTAAACACAATCTGTAGTAATCACCTGGTTTTGGGCAGGCAGGTAAATGAAGATTTGTGCGCGCTCAGTAATTCTCTAATCAAGCTCACTTAATTCATTTAATCATTTATCAGATCATTTGCTCTTTCAACATGCGTTTAACCCATTTCTCTACTAGCCGCCACCTCCTCCTTGCCCAGTGCTCACCACCCTTCAGCTGAACTCATCAACATTCCTCATTAACAGTCCCATTAAAAAAAATTAAATTACCAGAACATCTTGTGCAAAATGTCTTCCACAGATTCTGCAAGGAGCCAGATCTTGACTTCGGGCAAATGCGTGAAACGCAAACCATGCAAGAGTCTCAGTTACATAGTACAAGATTGCTTGACTACAGCGGAGTCAGCATTTGCCCTGAGCCCTTGCTGCAACAGTATTTCACTGTCAGAAAGGAACATGCCCGGTCATCTGCCAGGGCTCCCTTTCACAGTGTTACCTGATTTACCTTGTTCCTACGATGCACAAGCTCACCTTCACTACAATGGACAGCTTTTTGTTTTCCACATGACTGCTCAGTTATGTCCTTTCACAATGACATCATGATTGGATAAGATGATGGAAGAGTAGTTCATTGCTGCATGAATTCAGGGGGGGGCAGGCTGCTGGAAAGCTAAAGCAGGCGACTTGCACCTCTATTTATCCCAGTTCATCAGGAGCCAGCAATACCCAGCAATGGCTTGGGGTAAACTGTCGCTATTCCAGAAAGCTGTAGTTGTCACATTAAATGTGATGCACTCCTCATTCTTAAGACAGAAGTTTCCATAACATGCCAGCCAGCCAGCATTCCAAGATTATCTTACTTTGTAGATGTCAAATTTGTGGGGATTTTTTTTTTAATCAGTCTTTTTTTTTTTGGAAAAAAAGAATTAAAAGGTTTTTAAGTTACACAGAAAGTAGATTCAAAGCCTTTCTGACTCCAATGGCAGTCACATATTCTCATTTCAGAGCAAGGACATGACTTGTATTAAAACAAAACCAGCTTTCAGGAAAACTTCAATAACTAAGATCCCTTTTCACAAGGTGTGCAACCTACAGAGAGAAAAACTTCAAATACAAGTGTTCCTTACCTGCTCTTGCTGAGACAAAAGAAACCTTGTCTTACTGATCAGATGTGTGACTGCTTTTGTTTCTTTTTCCTTCAGATTTTACTATATTCCAAGGCACAGAGTTAAGGTTACTATACTGTTTCATTGATGACAAGCTGTCCTGGGTTCAGCAGTAGCAGTCATTTTTCTCCTTGGCAGCTGGTGCAGTGCTATATTTTGACTTTCGGGCTGGGAACAGAGCTGGTAACACCGATGTTTTGGTTTGGCCAAGGACTTTCTGAGTCTCATGCTCTGCCAGGGAGGAGGGAAGCCGGGAGGAAGCAGAGACAGGACACCTGACCCAAACTGACCAAAGAGGTATTCCATACCACCGCACGTCATGCCCAGGATATAACTGGAGTTACCTGGAAGGGCTAGCTCACTGCGGGGTTGGAGGAGGTATCAGCCAGTGCTTGGTCGGGCTGGTGGAGAAGAGTTATCGGTCACCTGGTGATGAGGTGTTGTATTCTCTTCCCTTGTTATTTCCTTTATCATTACTATTGTTGGTGGTAGCAGTAGTGATTTGTGTTATACCTTAGTTACTAAACTGTTCTTATCTCAACCCGTGGGAGCTGCATTCTTTTGATTCTCCTCTCCATCCCTCCAGGAGTAGGGGAGGGCAAGAAGCTGGGGAGTGAACGAGCTGTCTGGCTGGGTTTAGACCACGACACAAGCATAGAGAAACAAAGCAATTCTATAAACTTTTTGACGCTTACTCTCTTTAAATGTCTTCCCACTTTTGTTCCCTAGCAACATATTTCTGTGTCTGTGCTTAGTCTGGAATATCATCTTCAAGTGTCTTCCTCTGCCTCCCCCAGCCTTTATTCTGTTCTCATCCCCTCAAGGATTTGGCTGATACAGCTTGTTTTATTTTTTTTTTAAAAAGGGAATTTAGGCATGAGCACAGTTATCAGGGAATAAGCAATGAGAAGTCAGGGAAAAGGATAATTCACCACAGATTAGTTACTTTAGACATGTAGCAGAGCAGATGAGTTAAGGACTGGTAAAGAACATGTGCACTGTCTTTAATTTAAAGGCTCTCCCTTTCTGTAAGTCACAGAATCACATGCCACCCAAAACACTAAGCAGCATCTGATACTCACTTGCTCCATTTCCATTTAACTACTTACCTGGTATTTGACTCATCTCAATAGAATGGTTTCTCAGGTGTCCTCTTCTGTGTTGCTGTCAGGAGCCATGAGTACTAGCTGGTGTCTTCCTTACTCAAGAGCTTGCTATTCTAAGTTAACACACATCAGCATTACGTAATTAACAATTATGACACAGGCAGACCCTCTTTAAACCTGTGAAGCACATGAAAACTAGTGCAGGTACTGGCTAAATGAAAACTTGTTCTAATCTTACAGGTGATTCTTACTGATTTGGTTAACAGTCTCTTTGACAACTTTAGAAAATGCTTAATCTAGATGTGAAAACTCCACTGACACTTCAATTTCCTGAGCAGTGATCAAGAGATTTTTAAATAGAATCACAGAATCATAGAATAGTTAGGGTTGGAAAGGGCCTTAAGATCATCTAGTTCCAACTCCCCTGCCATGTCTGTTTATTCCCTTCACTAAAATCATGTTACTTTATCAGTATATTATAAAAGCCTTCTTCCAATAAAAACAAGTACTTTGAACTGTTTCTGTACATTAAAAGGCCTCATCAGTCCTTCTGCTGCATTTAAGTATAAGGGAGAGAAGAAACACAGATGCTTTGTAAACTGAGATAATTTAATAGAAGAATTTAACCAGATAGATCAGTAAGATTCTGATTTGTTGAATACATATACAAATATGTATATAAAACTTTGTCCAGTGATAGTGTGTAAAAATATACACTTTTTATAATTTTAATATCTTTCTATTGTAATGAAACTGCAAAAGTTGCCAGGTCACTCACGACAGAATAGACATCACTAATAGATGGTTTTATGCGTAACTGCATTTCAGAAAGAATAACAAGTTACTGGTTCTTGTTACAGTAGGATGTGAATAAACCCCTTGGAGCATGACTGGCAAAGCTACGAGTTAGCAGCTCCCTTCTCAATACAAATGAAAAGTTGAGGTTGTTTCCAAAGCAAGTTCCTCAGTTTCATCAAGATAGCTTCAGTCCTTGAACGTTCTGTTTCAGATTGAGCAACTCTTTCTCTTGCCTCGTTTTCTCCAATTTGAAGGCTAGCTTGTTGGCTTTCTTTTCCATCCTGCGTTCCTGTGCGTATCAATAATTACAGATTTAGAAAACAGCCATGACATGCAAGAGGAAACCATTCTAATTAACAGTTCCAGATCATGAAAACAGCAGCAATCTGGACAATAATATTATTTATGGCACTAATTATTAGCAGTGAAATCGTGTACCACGAAGATTACCATCTTTAATCAGCTGAAGCTTCTGATATGCTGGCAATTTCTGTTCCTAAATAAAACAACTAGTATCTCACTGCGGCAAATTAAGATTTCCCACATTTCTTTCAGAGCTTTTTTTACATCACAACTGTTTCCTTTGCCTCCCTAGAAAATTAAACGTAAGGGCTCCTTCCAGTGCTATAGTGGCCACAATTACATATGTAACAGTCCCAAAATTAGGATGACAAAATTATGATGTTAACTTTCTTTCCAGTGGATTTTTTAAAGAAGCAGTAACCAGTCTCTTGAGACCAGCAAGTCTTTCCCATTGATTTCCAGACACAAGAACAAGTGAGCTTTAAAAAAGTTTGTGAGACAGAATTCAGATAATGTAACACGTTTTTGCAGGTTCTTATTTAAAACAAAGCATACCTTTCGCTCCTCTTTTATTGCCTGTTTTCTAGCTCTGCGATCCTCTTTGCTCTCGTCTTTGGAACGGGGCTGTGTTGATGCTCTTGGCAGGTCGCTGCCATTAATCATTTGCATGCGTTCCATCTGCTTAGCAGTAAGACTTTTCTGAGGCAAAATGTGTAGAGGAATTCCAGTCTTCTGAGAAATTTTTATGGGTTTGGGCTAAAATAGAGAGCAGATTACGTATGAATGGCCCCCAGCTCCGTCTGCAAGGAGTGCACACCACACTGCCTTATCAGTATAAAAACATTAGATTCAGATTTAACGTAATAAACATGGAAGTTTCCTCACACAATTTTCTTCCCTCAGAAAAACACACATTAATCCCTAAGAAAGAAATCAACCTGTGAAGAGAATTTGGCCTCCCAGAATAAGCAAAAAAATATAATCTTCCTTTTATTTAAATATTACTAAAAGGCACTTAACATTCCTTTAGAAACTTCCACAGAAAAGGTTTCCTTTCACAATTTCGAATATCAAGCTATGTTCCAATGATAGGAAATGTCTAGAAGACCAAAAGAACTAGAAGAAATTGTTTCAAAGTGTATTTTCAAGAAAAAAAACCCAAGCAATGTGTGCTTGTGAGACACAGATCACACAAGGGCATATCACAGATAACAAGAAGGTAAATTCCGCACTCTGCATTTCTGTCCTGCTATTACAGAAACTTTGAACTTAAGCTACTTTCCTTTTACTAACAGAAAAAATGTACCCAAACTCTTCTTCAGTACAGAAGTACTATCAAAGTTAGCACCCTCCCAACCCTCTTTTCTACTCCTTCTTTTAAAAACAGATATCCATTGAGAAAACAATCATTTTGGTCTCAAGTTTTTCCATGCCAGGGTATTACTCAAGAATAAGTTTGATGATCTTACCTTTGATGGCTCCTTAATAAGTGTTGGGTGATTATATAAGTTTGAGTATGTACCTAGGTCACAAAAAGAAATAGTAGTGAAGGCTTGCAAACAGACTTTAGGTAGATTTATTATTAATTGTATTACTACTTAGTCCTTGAAAATTCACAAGCATTAACTATTTTACCTAAAGCACTGTCAGAAAAGTTCTGAGATCACGTATCGTTTACTTTGAAATCCTAGGAAGACACAAGAGAACACCAAAATACTTACTCAAAATGGATTCGCAATCCCATTTTTCTTTTGGTTCCTCAACAACTACAGTTACTATTTCTTCCTTTTCTTCTTCACTTTCCTCATTCATAGGAGAGTCTAAATCTTCACAAGGTTCAAGAGTATCCAATTTCACGCAACTTTAAAGTCCAAAGAACAAAAAAACTAAGGTTTATCTTTTATTGAAAATGTGTAATTATGTAAACCTAGTGTCCACTCAGTAAAACCCCAAACTAAAGAAAGATATTCCCAATGGAACTTGCAGCAATGTTAAGTTCCCTTAACTAAGCATCCACAAAATACACTAA